ATGATTATACAATAAAAATATATGTATCGTATTTGTCCATAAATAGTTCTGAAGAGTTACCATTCATAATTCTCGTCGGGATACAATACAGAAATAACATCGTATATCTTATTAATACATAGATAAAAAATCTGTAAAATACCAGCATGCCCAAATTGAAACCAAATGTCATTAACTTTAATAGATTCAAATACGTTTATATATTAATCGTCTTTGTCAATTTTCCAGTAATAAAGGGCCAAAATTCTATTGAATGAAATAAAGTCAATAACAGTCACGAAAACAGCCATAAAGATATAAGTAGGAGATAGATAAAGTATAACGAAAAATGAGTTCCATTTTAATTAGATTAGTTATGTCTTGTAACATTTCATTTTGGGTTTTTTTTCATCACGACAACATTAAAAATCCACATAATATGGGAGAAATCTGAAAAGTATCTCATTTTTGGAAATTGAAAGAAATGATAAAATAAAACACACTAAAAATCCTGTATACGTAAATTCCATATGGACATATACACACAATGACATATATATATATATATATATATATATATATATATATACATTCAAACAAAGGACAGTTAAAAACACGAGGGGGGAGAGAAGAAAAAGAAAAAGAAAGAAAGCAAAGAGGAAATAAGTTACAGAGAACAAAATCTGGGATCTGATTCAATAAAACTAAAATATATTCTTTCTTTTCAAATGTCAAACAATCATAATCAGTATAATCAACAGTTAAAAATCACGTATATATATATAATTTAACTTAATAATTGAAATATCTGGAGGGGTTGTACAATCATAGAAAATCATTTGATTATTCTTTTTTTAACTTTTCATGTGACTAGGATGTTATTATTAAAAATGGCATGTAACCAATTCGACCAGGGAAAATTTTCAACTGGTATTTAAACTAATGGTCAACTTGTCTATTGTATATCATTAAGAGTCATCAATGTTTAATAATCAAAGTATGTATGACTCTTGTATAATTAAAATAAATCGGACACTATATAGTGTGCAAGTTGTATTTCATTTTCATTAAGGTTTTAAGGCTTTTGGTGCTTTATTTTTTACCATAATAATTTCCTAAATTCTAAATAGTGTATATGAAATCAATAAGGGTAAGCAGGGTTTTTATTTTCCGAGCCAAACATGATTATTAGGACAGTTAATTTTTTAATTATTTAAAATCACTCCACAGCCGAATCGGTACAAAATTGTTAAGAGATTTAAGAGCCTAAACTTTTGAGCTAAAACCTTATGCAAAAAGCTATCAAATATGTAAGACTACAGATAATAATCTTATTTTGTACAAAAAAAATATAAAATATAAAGTTTGTCCATTACGAATGTTGTTTATTATGGATATCACTTAATAAATCACCACTCCAATTGTAATGAGTTACAGCTGATGATTGTAGTTAGAGATTATCATGAGTTCAATGGATCGATGTGAACTTTGCATGATCAAATTTTATTTTATACTGATACACGTGTGACAGTAAGTCACTACACACAACAGCGATTATCCTAAAGTTTTCAGCTCGTCATGTGATCACTTATTCTTTTTCTTAAATCCAGCTTTCTGTTAGTTCTCTTTATTCCAAAAATCCAAAAGGTATGCTTGGATGTCACTGACATTACCTTAAAATGGAAGATGTGTGAAACAATATGACCTTTGGAAACTTTCAGAGATGTTCTGAATGAATAAAATGAAGACGGAGTATTACTAATAAGAGATGTTTATACTATGGAGTATGATTAATATTTGACTATTTGTTTGCTCATTGTGATAACATTAATGAAAATGGCACTTCAAAGTTTAAATAACCGAAATCTTATTCTATTTATCGTAATGCCAATTGAATATCTGTGGAGATTTATTACAAACTCAAGATAGTTTTTATCATGAAATTGCATCGGCCGAAGACTTATACTAGAAAACCAGGTATTAACTGGCCATTGCAAACTGTTTTTTTTTCTATTTTTAAACTTATGAAGATTTGCGCAATGAAGATTGTAAGATATTAGAAAACAAAAAGTTATTTCGCTAAGTACTTCATGAGACTTAGACTCTATTTGTTGGTCCTAGTTCTCCATTGACTAGACTTTGATAAGTATCTGTTGAATAAGTTTAAATATCATCTCAATCACCATGTATTTGATCCGAATATTATTTGAAGCAAGTAAAGTTCACTACACGAGCTTCTCATTCAGATCTTATCAAAACTAATTCAGACGAATGTAAGTCAAATATTTTAGGAAACAAAGTCTTACTGATAGGTCCTGCGTTCAAATCCCTCAAGCGGGATCGTGGATACACACTGCTGAGCAGTCTCATAATAGAACGAAACCGCTTCCAGGTCTTCTCTGGGGGTCTAGCTTCAACTGACTCATGATCTCAAATATTGAAACTCTTACGCGGTGAATAATATTGATGAGATTTCTTCGAAATAATATCATGTTCCAGTTTCATTATAGCTGTTAGTTTACTAAAATGAAAATACATTTTATTTTACTGCATAGTAAATTTTCATATGAAGAACTTTTAGAAAAAGATACAGTTGTAGTAGAAAATCCTTTACATATGACTGCCGATATACAATGACAATATTTCTCATTTAAACATATGACTTTATAGTTCAACTATAATGCAAACGTTCATAAATAAATCATATATATTATTCTGGTGAATATACATTTGAATTCCTGATATTTGGCGACTTATTGTAAGCTTTCTCTTCGGATTAAATAAAATACATGAAATATGTTCACACTTTTATTTGATAAGTTGCTTGTGATGCATTTCGCAAGATAATTGAATACGGTTTATTCTGTTATCTAACATTCGGTGTATGTTTTTATCAACCACGAACTTGACTTCAACTAATCACTAAATACAGAAAACTACTTTAGTTCAGTTGACAAGTATAGAAAAAGTGAAAAAAAATCTAGATATCTAATATCCTTTTTCAGTGTATAATGGATGAATTACATGATAAAATAGAGGACAGTAGGTGAAATCCCTTTTTAAAAAAATGCAGCAAAGTTTTGATTAATACACCTTTTATATCTGCAGTTCTCCTTAGAAGTTTATATAAATCCTTAGCAAACTACTATAGAGTTTTCAAAGATATAATGACTTTCTTGAGATACATCTATGTTGTTAACACCTATAGTATAAGATAAAACTGCAACACCATCCTGATTATATAATGATGAAATACGTATGTGTTAAATGATTATTCTACAGAAATAAGAATATTGTTGAGGATATTTTAAATTAAACAAGTCTACTAAAATATCTTGTGTAATTGTTCGTACAAACAGCAAAACTTTACAATGCAATTAATCCAAAGTAAAAGATTTCTGTCCTACTTAAACAAGTCCATGAAGTTGTGTATATCGTTTCTTGAGTTTGACTGTTGATATCTTACCTCTGTGAGCTACGAATTATATTAGAAATGAACTAAATCCGTACAATTATACCAAGACTAAGGGAAGTTGAGACTTGGTGACAGTTTTTAAAGCACTGTACTATAAATGGTTATGCAGTCGATACCTAGTGACTTTTGAATGAACTGAAAGATCAATTATTAGAGTTTATGATCAGATGCTTTAGTCATTGTTAAATATATTAAGGTTTAATAGCTTAATGGGTATTACCAAGTATACAAAGCTACAGAAACGAAGTTATAAAAGGGATAATTATAATAAAGAATATTTATGTGAACAACTGTTTACCATAACTTAATTATCAGACATTTTATTCAGATGGTTTAATTTACTAAATCGGTTGGAATCCGTTAACTTACAATCGGTTTTCCGGCTACATTTTGGAAATGATATTTTAAATTTACAGGTGACAGATTTTAGATATATTTAAACCCTAAACGATGCAAAAGTTTACAATTTTAACATATAACACTATTCATTTTAATTATTCATATGTGCGAAACCGCCTCGTGAGATTCGCACCGCTGAGAAGTCTCATACTAGGATGAAACGGCCGTCCAGTGCTTACAGGTTTTCCATGGTGATCTAGCTTCAATCGACCCATAAATTCAACTACTGTATTACTAAAATATCCATAAAACCCGTTTTTGGTTATATTCATACCTGAAATTTCGAGCACTACACCAAAACGATTATGGACTTGTAATTGAACAACCTGATAAAGTTACTAAAAACAACAACTGCTCACTTACATATTCTTTTTTCGGAATATTCTATGGAGGTAACTGTAAGTAATTTCCTAGAACGAGATTGAATACTAATAGAATTTCTATCCATCCTTATAGATCACCAAACTCTCAAAGGTACTTTGCAAAATATAGAGTCAAGATAATTTACTTTTGTAGAAAGATGTTTTATGAAAGTATTAGGTTGGCTCACTTTTTGTATATAATTATATAAGTTAGGTTTAGATACCGTTGGATTTTCTTTTTAATTCATTAAATCAGATTTATGCGTAAGATCATATTTAACTACGAAAATAGAATTGCTGATATTTATTAAATTTGCTTCAATATCTTAACTGCAAATATTGTCAATTTTCAGTCAGTAGTTTCATCTTCGTTGTTTCACTGTTTTGTGTCAGCGTTTTATGCTAGCGTTCGGGTGTGAGACCTAAGTCCCTAAGTTCGAACCCCGCGGGCGGGATCGTGGATGCGTACTGCTGAGGAGTCCCACAATAAGATGAATGGGCCGTCCAGTGTTTACAGGTTTTCATAAGTGGTCTGACATCAATCGGTTCATGATCTCAATCAAAAAAGTTGATACTTTCATTTCTAGAAATCCGACTTTATTTAATCTAAACTGAGTTTCCGCAAGCACGTTTTCTGATATTTGCAACAAAAGTTTTCTATTATCTGTCCAAGAGAAATCTTAGTATTAGTCATGTCCTTTTAAAAAAATGTTAATGGAACCCAGATAAGAAACGTCATTACAAGCATATCCATCATATATCTTTAACATTTTTTTAATATTCAGCACTCATTTAGGTGGTAACTCACGTCATTTGAAACAAAAGCATATTCAAAATTACAAAGATAGAAGTCTTCCAAACAAACTCAAAAAATTAACAAGTAAACGAAGAGAACAATCGAAAAAGTTTGGTCGAAACTGGCAGAGAAGAAAGAATGAATTACTTAGACGTCGAAGATATCGCCAACTTAAGGCCAAAACACAAGCATTTATTCAGTTAAATAAATTATATCAACAGAAAGCTGACATATTAATGTTTACTCCTGAACAAAGAAAAAAGAAAGAGTTTTCTCAAGGTAAAAGAAGGTCTAAAAGGGCAGCTACAGCTTATGTTTCAAGAACATGGACAAACGGAGTTATTCCATACATAATACAAGCAAATTTTTCAAGTAAATTTAACTTACTTTTAATCCATATGCTCAACTTTGAAATTTCCATTAAAAAGAGCAGGGAAAATGAAGTAGATAATGATATCAGTGATCAATTTTTCACTCTATCTATTTTTCTAAAGAGGTTTTTACTACCCGTTGTGACATCCTAATATAATCAATGATAATGAAATATTTATCCTATTTCATTTCGTATATGTTCTATAAACTTAACACATTTATGACGACAGTATATCCAAAGCCAAGAAATTGGTATTTAGGATACTGATATTTCAGACATGCTAATACTGAACGGCAGGAAATCGACAAAAGACAGAGTGACTGTATAAATCATCGGGGCACGGTAATACACTGGCTCGGAGAATAATAAGGTGATTCAGTTTTTATAAGTTATTTAAAAAATAAGAAAAAAAGAGGAACACATAGGCAGTATTGTACATGCATGTATAAAACAAGATCATGGCTACACGTGAGCAACTAACAAGAAAGAATCTATGGGTTGTAAAATAAATTGAAAGAATTGTATAGTTCATCTGTTCGATTAAGTCACATAACAATATTAATTGTTACAGGTTAAGTTCATGTCACTGACAAATTCTCGGTGACTTTTTATTAAACCAGGATGATTTAAACCAGCTTTTTTACTTCTGATCATTTCAAACACTTTGAAGATATAAATCCACTAACTGAGCTCCTGAATTTTAGCCAGCCACAGTATTTGAAATATATCAAACTTTACTATATTTTGAATCAGAGTTTACTGATTTAGAAGAAATATTTCACTATTTAACCAGCTGAAGTGGAAGGAATGTGTACTATTCAAATGTAGGAAGCAATTCATTAAATTTAGTTGTTCAATATTACGCGCTGTCACTGGTAAGTAGTAGTAATGCATGAGATGACACCTCGATACTTCTGCAGATCGCTTCACTCAGTTCATATGCAATGGAAGTAATAGTACTAAACAGCTATTGAATAGTCCAAATACTTACTGATTTGTCTGTCCTCCGTGAGGAATTCGCTATTTGAATATGTGGCTGAGAAAAATACTCGACTTTACATTAATACCTGAATAGTTAATCTGTTATATCAGTTCACTGTAATAATCATGCGGAAATATGTACATTGAATTTCGTTATGTTATTTGCGCTACTTATACTTATTGAAAGTAGCCAAATGTCGATAAACAAAATGTTTAGGGGAGCTGAAAACAGTTATGTTTAATTCAATTCCAGTTTTTGAAGTAAATGACTTCCTTTTTTTAACGATCTACATTTGTTTTCAACGAATAAACCTTAGATGCGCTAAAGAGACTGATGAAACTTAAATTCTGTAAAAATGGTTATAGATGCTGTCCTGAAATTCTTTTACTTTATTTGCTTTTTAGGTGAAACTAAAGCTACGATTATGAAAGCTATGCGACATTGGGAAAATTATACCTGTCTTAGTTTTGTTGAAAGGCAACCACATCACAGATCCTACATAATCTTTACTGAAAAGGCATGTGGGTAAGTGTTTAAAAAAGGAGAAAAAGATTTAGATTTGAGAATCAATTTAATTGTACGTTTATAGCTTCAGAAACTGAAGATTTTGGTGGATAGTTAGACAAATACAACCGTTTGTGAATTAATAATTTGTCCAATTTTTTAAAATGAATTTTGTATCCGTAAAAATTGGTTTCCACAAATTATGCATCGATGATATAATTATGTGGATAATATTGAGGAAGGCATTACTTGATTAACTTTATAATTATTTTGAGGGATTCTGTTTATAATATCAGATGGGTTTTGTGGAGATTGTAGCAATTTCAATGGTTAAGATCATGAGTTAGTTGAAGCTAAACCACCATGGAAAACCTGGGAGCACTAAACGGCCGTTTTGTCTCATTGTGGGACTCCTCAGGAGTGCGCATCCACGACCTCACCCCATGCGAGACTCGAACCCAGGACATACTGGTTTCGCGCGCGAGCACTTAACCACTAGACCACTGAGCCGACATCCAACGGTGTTAATGTTCGATTTCAACCAACCCACGAAATTGAACGATACATCCACCATTGTCTTCAGTGAGTTGATATCTCACAACAGACCTGGTTTAACTCCACTGGTCTGTTTTTGGCCGCAGCAATTTTGATCTACTGAAGTCTTGATTAGATTGTGTAATTACTATTTCTCGTCTTCAAAACACTAATGTTTCGTGTTCAGTTTTACTGTTCGGTTATGCATAATTCCAAATGAATATAGCCAACTTTGAATATCAACATAGTGTGGGTTTTTTGGATATATAGACTAATTTATTTGATCACATTTATAATTGATCAAGTTAAACAATGAATCCATACTAATGTGACCAAATTGTGAGGTAAGATACTAAGTGTATGAATTATGTCTCCTCTGGTAACTTATCTATGATCACTACTGTTCATGAAATTCATTAGTCTCATTGCAAATAGAATGCAGTAAGTGAATATTTTTTTACTTCTTATTCATAATTATGCGAGCGTTCACCTTTTGTATGATCAGTTTTCTGATATGGAAGATTTAGTCTATTAGGATGTGACTATGAACAGCAAACTAAAGTTTTAGGAAAAGAAAGTTAACTTTCCTTATTTGAACTGTCATTGGTGATATATCATTCGAGATGTGACAAAATAAAAACAAATTAATCATACTACTTACTAATACCCAGTAACACAAAAACATAATTTTAGCTTCAAAATATAAACTAGTTGAATTCAGGAGTCAATCTGAGCTAGACCACCATTGAAAACTGGAAGCACTGGATGGCCGTTTCGTCCTAGTATGGGACTTCTCAGCAGTGCACATCCATGATTTTGAATTTCTTAGGAGAGTTGCTGTAAAATATTATTTCTTCTAAAGTACTCATTATTATTTACAATTTAAAAAAATAATAATAACAGGTGTTGTTCATACGTGGGACGACGTAGCGAAGATGAACCACAAGCCATATCAATCGGAAAAAATTGTGACAAGAAAGGGATAGTAATTCATGAACTTGGTCATGTGATTGGATTTTGGCATGAACACACTAGACCTGATCGAGATGGTAAGTCAAGTCTTCAGATCCGGTGACCATTAACATAACCTTGAATGTTTTCCCTATACTATATTGAGTATTTATTAATTTATAAGCATAAAACTATCACAAAGATAGATCATGAGATAATGACAATAATTTTGGTCCATAATTTAATACTGATTAACTTCGTTTTCACGTTGGGTGGTATTTCTGTGGTTTCGTACCAGTTCCACTTTGTTATTTTAGACTAATTGTACATTCTAAATAAAAATAAATCCACAATAGTTCAAATGTTTAAAAATTATTTAGTATCAAATTTTCAATTATGACCTACAATAGGAAATACCTTATTGTTTTGTTTAGTATTCACTTAACAATCTGGGGACACTAAAAGTCGCCAGTTCTCCAAAAAAGTGGTGTCAATAATTTTGGAGTAAATTCTTTTACATGAAGGGATAACAAAGAACTGTTTTACAAGAGTCAACTACTAAATGTTGAGTTTGCTTACTTACACCTGTTACCCCTCGTGGTAGCATAGGCAGCCTACCAGGACTCTACAACCAACTCTGTTCTGGATTCCCTTTACCAACTGTCTCCATGTCCTATTCATTCTTTCGATGCCTGTTCCCAGTTCCCAGCACACTGTGTTCTTTGGTCCGCCTTTTCTCTTTCACTTTGAGGATCCCAAGTTAGGGCTCGGCTCGAGATGCCGTCTGATTATTTCCGCAATATGTGTCCGATCCACCGCCAGAGCTTTTTCCTAATTTCTTCAGCTAGAAGCTAATCGGTTCCCTGTCACATCGTGTTACTGCTGGTGGTATCCGACGGATCTGGAATATCTTGCTGAAACAATCGTTTATAAATACCTGTACTTTTTGATGATGGTTGCAAAACTTCTCTAAATTTCGGCTCCGTATGACATATAGGGCAACACTTCAAAATTGGTTCCAAGTAACTCCCTATTTGACATAGGTGGTAAGTTATTTCATTATCAGGCGCGCCACTTTTAGAAATGCTTGGATTAAACAAGAATAATGTGATTAATAATGCAGATACTTCTTGAAGACTCTGAACAAACAATATTGTTGGGGACGTTAGATCCCCAAAACTCATACTTTGTAATTTTATCTTTTTGGAGCTTGTATGCAAATGTATGCTTATGCATTTCTTACCACCCACGCACGTAGTCGATTGACAAACTTATCGATTAAATGTTTAAAGCCTTCCATGGCAATATCGATATATATATTTGTATGATTACGCCTGATTTGTGTGCTTGATGAACCCGGTATTTTCTGGTTGCCTGTAGAATCCACTTTCTACATCTTACCAAGACTTCTGGATCGAGTTAGCTGAGTCGGGGACAACGGACCAGTATAGCCTATCGAGTCTCTGAATCCTTGATTCTTCGTCCTGTTCTGAGTAAGACAAGTCAGTAGTAGCATTCAAGTTAACGAACATAACAAATATGTGATATTCCACGTCGCTTATTTGTGACCACAGACCACCCACTATTCTGCCTGCTTAAGGAATAGTTTCCTCGATTTTCCATTAAAAACTATGAAATATGTTTGCCAGTGGTAAATTATTTATATCATTGTCAAATGCAGGTTTCTGGATGGTAAAACTGATGTTAAACACAGCACAATTAGGTCCTTGACTGCTTGTATCAGTCGGTTGAAAAACTTTGACCATGATAGATGAAAACGAGGACTTCTAGAGATTCAAGTTAAATGCCTGTACTGAAAATCAATTTCTTCTTCCTCCTTCATCCCACTCTGTAAGTAGGCTATCTCGTTTGTCTGTATTTGTTTATCTAATTTAGTGTTTCTAGATTATTTTACAATCTTACTGCTACAAACTTTATACGACTTCCGACAGCTGAGTCGGGGTTTCGAACCCAACTTCAACTATATTCGTCAAGGCAAATGAGTACTATCATTAGGTCTCACGTATAACAACGTGGCATGCAACCTAATTTTGAAACCCTTACTTGGTAAATGAGTTACGGGATCGGACTGAAATCGATAAATAATGTTTGTTTCAGATATCAGAATAACGAATATAATCTGTTACCTAATACATTTAGATAGTTTACTAACACAAGAATTTCCATTCTTTAAATTTATGCTTCAATAATTCTTTAAAATTATCAGAAATATTTCCTTCTACATATACTTACAGAACATGTAGATATTCTACTCGATAATGTTGTTGAAGGACAAGATTTTAATTTTAAAAAAATGGATCCAGGTGAAGTGAACTCTCTTGGTGAACCATATGACTATAGTTCTATTATGCATTACGCTAAAGGAACATTTGCTAAAGCGAATAAAGATGAAACAATTAGACCAAAAGCTTGCTGTCCACGACCACCTATTGGTCAACGTATTCAGTTAAGTCCTGGTGATATTCGACAAACGAATAAACTTTATTTATGTCCAGGTAATTATTTAAATTTTTGATAACATGTTATTGTTTCTGTTAAAATGGGCATTCTGTAAAGATCGTTCAGTCTAAAACTAGTTTGCATCATGGACTAACAAAATGCGAATGAACCACTGCAAACTGAAGATGGATGGATAACTGTTTTTGTCCTACTATGAGACTATTTCTATTTTTATACAGATTTTTATATCAGAAATCACAGTACTATAATTATCTGACTTTGTTTTCCATTATTGTGTCTGGGATACTAAATTACTTAGCTTTATGTCACGTAAATTTGGAATTGCCCGTTTCCAAGGGATTTAAGAATAAGATAAACAACTATAAATTACTCTACAATTTTCAATGATTGATCATCTGTTACCAGTTTATGGCGAGCATTACCTGTTGTAGGATTTTTTCTGTCATTTTAGCTAATTCAACTGTTCACTTCATCAACTGTTATAACTATTGACATGAAGGTTGAAAGATATTAAAAGTACATAAAAATGACGATATAACATTGGGCGAGACATCTAAAGGTCATGAAGTGCATCATGTGTGGTGTCATAAGTTCGAACTACTAAGGAGTTCCTAAACAACAATGTAACAACTGACCAATGCTTTCTGGGTTTTTTAATGATTCTTTGATTAAAGTTATTTCATAATGGAAACTATTTTAAAGCTATCCAAATCTTTAGGGAAAGTTTCACTACTACATATGTTTTGATGGTAATTAGAGTGTTCAGTATACAAACTAAATCCAATGATAGAATATCCCGTTTGAATATTTCTCTTTATTTAAACTAGATTATCCAAGCATTCGGTATAAATATTTCCTCAAACATTTTATGTTTCATATGGTTTTACTTGGTACTGTGTCCAAGGAGCTGTATGTTATTTCTGTCTGTATCGCGGTTTATTATAAATTTGGTACCATTCTTCTAGTGTATTCAATAACTTGTTAGTACTTTTTTCCTCTCTCTAATTCAGATATTCATGCTGAAAATGCTCATATTTTTTAATTGAATTTCTAACGTAACTCTGCATTTTTACTTCAGAATTTCCAGCTTTTCTCCTACGAAGCTTCACAAATGTTAATAAGCCACCGTTCAAATTATTTGAAACAATCTCCATTTGACGTATTATGTATGTATTGTCGAGAGCTGTATAACTACGATGGTTTGATTATCTTTCAGAGAGAAGAGATTTTCTTGAAATTAGCAGTAGTAATAATAGTTATAGAAAAGTAAAATTCATCTAATGAAATAAGCAACAGTTTACTTATTTCCTTTGGTCTACTTACTTACTTACGCCTGTTACTCCCAAAGGAGCATAGGCTACCGACCAGCATTCTCCAACCTATTTGTTTTCATACTTAGAGACTAGAACCAAGGTAAATTGTTACGTACTTTACAAACCGAATATTGAAAATAAACCTAGAACAAAATTATCATGTTTATTTGGATAATTTCAAGGGATAAATTTGATTGGAAGACCATTTGAAATCAAAATTAATTGGAGACCTTTCTAAGAGCACGAATCAGTAAATATTAGTTCTCAGTTTAAAACTCGTTAACAGGGCCACATACAGACTTTACACTGGATGATATTTAAAAAGTTTGGGTCTTTTTGTGTGGATGATAAATTTAAACTAATTATATATGATTCAGTCACTAGATAATATTTTTGTATGTTATGAGCGACGTATTTTAATTCGAACTTCGAAAACCATCCCACGGTTACTTATTTTCGAGTACATCGTTATTGTTCGATTATATAATTTGTAGAGATATGTTCGATTTGAAGATAGTTTTCACCATGGTCCATTGAGAAGCCGCGATTAGCAGAATTCAACCACGTTATGAACGAACCAGTTTTCGACGACATTAAATGATTGCAAGTTGATTATAACTGGAAATGAAAACTACCGGATTTCATTGCATTAGTCTAAATGTGTTGCAATTGATATAATATCTGGAGACCAGAAGCCCGACTTTATGTGGTGCCGTAGATTTGTACTACCAAGGAGTCTTGAGTGAAGATAATGTCCACCTGATATCAGTTTTTAAATAAGATTATCATCAAATAAAACTTATCCCTTCAAACCACCCAAATAAATATTAAAAATGTTTTACTCTCCGTTTATTTTCAGGGTTGCCCTTAGTGTTAACATGAATGTAATTTGACTTCAAAATCTAGTTTCTACAATCAAATAATAAACCAATATCACTCGTTAGAGTAAAATGGCTGTTACGTAACTGTTTTGTTTCGTAAGTTTGCTACAGTATGTAGGTTCGGCTAATAAAACTATAAAATCAATTCAATTTAACTAGTAAAAGGTTTCTGTTGTCTATCGGTACTCAAAATATTTCAGTTAGGTTTTATGTATTATGTTAATATTAATATTAACACGTGAAAATATTCATTTTCTTTTATTTGTTACACATTAGGGTCTATTTTATTTGTTTTGGTGCCATTTTGTTCATTTGTTTAAACGAAATATTTTTCGCTACATTTTAGCATGTGGTCGTACACTTCTAGAACCAGTAGGAAGTTTGTCTTCACCACAAATGGCATGGAAATTAGAAGATCGTTTCGGTGGTAATGCCAACTCTTCATTATTTCCCGATCCGATAGGTTTAGAGCAGTCGATTCAACTAGGAAATGCTATATCAGTTGATCATCTTTTACCTGATGATAACGAGAATATGTATCATCCTTATCGATCATTAACAAATGGTAATACAATTGATGGTGGTGAAGATCATAGTTTAATCGGTATGGTCAATGATAATAATTATCAGTTAAAAACAATTCCGTATAATCCATTCAAAGGATCATTCAATAATGAAGAAGTTCCATTGATAGCAATGAGTCGTTTATCTAAGTTATCAAAAACAAGTTCATCATCTACTTTAGGTTTCACATCAGCTAGTCCTATACTTTGTCAATGGAGAATAAATGCTGCATCAGGTGAACGGATACGTTTAAATTTTACACACATGGATATATCTGGACCGATAACACAGGATTCTATACATACACCAAATAATTTAAATAATTTACATAAAGCATATGAATTAAATCAAAAAAGTATCAATCGTATCTCATGTATTAATGATTATGTAGAAATAAGAGATGGATATTATTCTGGTTCACCATTAATTGGTAAGTTAACTTTTTTTATACGAATATTTACATAAGAGACAAACAATTTATCATTCCTCCTATTAACTAATTACTCAGTAGTGACCAATATTAACTAATCTACTTATTAGTGATGATAAAGTTCCATGAATCAAGTTGCCATTCAATGATTAGGCGAAATGTCTCGAAATCTCACTGTATGTATTATAAGGTTGAAGGTATAGGTGAAAATTCTTGGATTTAAATTTTAAGTTAGTTATGATTGATCAGTATATTTTATCGGTAATCTTGAGAGAATTGAATTTGTTTTCAAGATTTGAACCAATCATGTTACGATATCGTGGGAGCTAATTTGACTATGATAATTGTCAATAATCACGTAATCTAGATCATAAATGCATTTTCATAAAACAATTTTTATTTCATTTTAATGTGAAACTATCTTATCAATTATGTTGGTAAATTGAATTTACTATAGAAATAATTTACTTCATTTCACAGGGCTAGGAGGTTTTCATTTTGAATTGTTTCACCGTTAATCAACTCTAATATAAAACAATACTTATCATTTGATACTAACTGTGGATATTATAGTAATTTCAATGGTTGAGATCATGAGTCGATTGGAGCTAGAGCACCATGGAAAATCTGGAACCTATGACCTAACAGTTTTGCGCGCGAGCGCTTAACCACTAGACCACTGAGCCGGCATCCAACAATGTTAATGTCTAACTTCAACCAATTCAGCATATAGAATTGTTTGTTAGGAGATTCAGACTTTAACCATTGACTCTAATCAAAGTTTTTGTATTGAATTAAATAATGTAATTTCATGACTAAGTGAATTATTATCTCTGACCATTGTATTTAAATCTAGTTTTATGCATTCGTCCAATGAGAAATAAGGATGAATCTTTAAATGTAACATACACTTCAACTTACTCATTAATATTTACCAGTTAACTACAATGTTTATGATTACTGACACCCTTTTACTAAACTTTAATAACCTGATTATATACCAAGAAATTACTTTATAAGTTAAAATCTCCTGTTCAAATATGAAGTTTTTTGATAAAAGTTAGAAAGGTGATTATACTTCATTCATAAGTCTTAAGTTCAAATAATGTTCATTTAGAATATAAATCATCGGTAATATTATGAGAAATACGTATTTCATTAATGTTAAAAGCTTATTATTCACAACTTTTTCCGTATGAACTACATCAGAAATAGATTAGTTTACATGTTGTTTCCTATAGATTTAACATTAGTGTGTCACTATCAATTTGTGTACAATATTCTTCTTTTGCAAATTTTTTTTATTCCGATCTTTATTTAGGTCGTTACTGTGGTCAAAATTTACCTCCACAGTTAATTTCAACTGGATCACGTCTTTGGTTAGAATATAGAAGATCTGCTGGGAGTATGACTACAGGTTTTATCGCTGATTATGAAGGTGATAATTAAATGATTTAATACTGTCCTTTTCATTTACTTAAAGTATCCTAATTATTTTGAACACTATTTTCCAACTCATGCTTACTTACGCCTGTTACTCCTCGTGAAGGAGCATAGGCCGCCCACCAGCATTCTCCATCCAACCTTGTCCTGGGCAGTCCTTTCCAGAAAAAATGATTTTCCAACTCATACTTCTTAAGTTTATACATTTGAATAATGAATTATGTTAACCTTTTGAAATTCTCTTTATTGCGTAGAATTCTGTGATGAAAAATCTGAATTTCAATTGGAAGTTGTGTCTTCTGATGTAAGATAAACATTCATGAATTTTAGCAATATTTATAACACTTACTCATAAATAAATCTTAGCTGTAGCGTTAACAGGAATTCTTCATGTAAGTATCAATGTGAGGTTTCAGAAAGAAAACAGTCATTTATTTGAAACTTCATGGCTCCGATAGGAAGAGCACTAAAACTTACATAAAATCATCAATTCACTCATTCTATTTCACTACTTCTTAAGATTTCAAACAAAATGTGTAGAAAAAGTACTCTGAAGTTCACATGTTCATAAATATTTTCCTCTTTAGCTATATGTGGTGGAGAATTACAAATGGAAGAAGGGACACTAACAAGTCCAAATTACCCTGAATTTTATCGACCAAGTAAAGAGTGTGTTTGGCAAATTATTGTTCCCGTTGGTTATTCTGTTGCATTGATATTTCATTCATTTCAGGTGAGTTAAAAGTCTATGATTAAGAAATTCTGTGTGTTTTATGTTGTAGCACCCAGTGTGGATTTAAATAGTGTTCAGTCAATTTTTTTACATTTTACAACCTTAAGCTTCAAGTTGAGTGTTTCCAGTGCATAAAAAGCTATTTTAACAATAATAAAACAATTAAGTCTGTTTTAGTAAGGTTGTAATACAGGGATCCTTAACTGGCTTTGTACGAATAATAATCTATAAACATTGATATGATAATAAATATTTATATTTAGATCTGCAAATATTACTTTTAGCCTAAATATTTTCAGGGGTTGATTTTTCATAGATAGATCATTAGAATTCATCACAATCAGTATTTACGGTACAACGCTAATCGTAGAACTATACGACTATAGAGACTTTTGTAGACACATTAAATTGATTATTTGTTGCCAAATAATGTTTAAAAAAATAGAAAAAATGTAATCAAAATGGTTCAATTAACCTGTTTGTCATGCAGTAAAAGTGCTCTATATCATCAAGTCAACTGATGATGAAAATTTGAGTATAGCTTATTTTTAGATCTATATTCTAGCTCTATACCTGTTGGCTTATAAGTGAACAGACTAAATAAATGTTCATTTTCAGCTGGTTTGTTTAATTCTTATTTTTTTCTTGAGTTAAGCATTCATAACCTGGATTGTTGATCTTTTCATTTTCTAAAATGATAATTCACAGCTAGAAAAACATGATACCTGTGTATACGATTACCTAGAGGTACGTGATGGTTTAAAAGATACATCCCCACTGCTGAAAAAACTATGTGGATCACATCTACCCACTCCAATTAAATCGACCAATAATGTGATGTATGTAAAATTTGTATCAGATAGCTCAGTAGAAAAACAAGGATTTACGGCCACATTTCAGAAAGGTAATTTAAAATTTAAAATTAGTTATTTGATAATATATTTACAGCAAAATTAGTGAGAGATTTACTTTAATAATTTAAACTGCTTAACAGTATAATTGTAATGACCGATTTCTTTAAAATTTCGACGTCCACAATATCTGCATAGCTAGGTTGTGTAAATAAAGTGTGAGAGAAAGTCAGTTTAAAAAAAGCACAAATCAGTAAACAAGTGTGATTAGTTTGCTTAGAGACCTAAGTAAAACTGAAACTGATAAGTCTTCTAAGTGAACGCTAGATTCGGTTCCTAAGCACTTCTATTAACCCTCAGGCTAAATCTACACAGTAACCTGAACACGAGAGAAAAGGCATGAAATATAGAAGAAACGCATTACTCCAAGGTTCGTTCGTGTTCAGAAAATCTAAGGTATTTATAACATTTTAGATGGCCTTAGGCTTCCAGAAAATTCTGAAACCCTGCTAAACATAGTAGCAGTATAATTAATCATCCAATCAGAAACGCGACCTGTGACTTTTTACTTTCTAGATGTTTCTGGAAAAACGTCTATTGAATGCTGATTGAATAAGGGGTTCCTCAGAGTTTTCAGAGTCTTTTATGGCATTTTTCGAGGAATTTTCTAAGTCTCCCCAACAGAAACAAATTTATTTTATTTTTTTTTAAAGTTTTGGAAACTACGTAAAAAATTTAATTAATGAATAAACTCTGAAAATTATTGATTTACGAAAACCTGAATATCCAAATTATGTATATTATTGGCCATATTGGAAATAATCTATACATCTGTAAGGAACTAAATTATTCAATAGAATATTATACTAATTATGTATTATCCATTTATTGTCAGTCATTAAACACTTTTACCTTAGTAAAAGAATTGTTCGGCACCAATGAACTAATGAAATTTTTGACTAACAAACATTTACGAAGGGACTGTTGATATTCATAAAAGGTTGTGTATTTTAAGTATTTATTCCAGTCTATAAATGACCTGTCATAAATTTTTAATACAATTTTGGTTCTACCAGAATAGAAGAAGAATTCAATTCATTGACTATGTGTGTGATATTTAAATCATTTCGTTGTGTATTTAGTTACGTATACTGTTTAACAGTCAAGAATATTAAAGATAATCTTGATCTGTAGGATTATTCACTAGCGTTACAAAAAAATTCATATCACTAACATTTTAGAGGCAATTTATCACGTCTGATTATTGAGGCGAGAATGGAATCTACACAACAGTCGACTTTAGGATTATTAATTTGAATGTTCCTATGATATAAAATTGTTGATTCTCACCCGTCGTTTATTCAAAACTGAACTTCAAGTGTTCAAAGCTAAATACTGTAATCAAGAAATGATTCGTAAAAACCAATTCTTTATTAGCTAGAAGAAAAGAGTAATCAGAAAATTCTTTTGTAAATTATCTAACAAAAAGACCAACTAAGAGTTACCTACAGTTTGATGTTTATGCTCTAAATTTCGTCTAGAAAAACTAAACTAATATAAATAAAAGTGATCCAAATGACACAACAGACAAAATGATTATTTAACTAAGATTGGCTTTCTAATTGAATTTAAAGTGTTTTGTCCAGTGTGTACTTTATGTTCAACAAAATATTGTGCCATATTATTCAAAACAGAATATTAAGTTGGATAGGTAATAGAGCTTTGAGGGAATATACGCATTAAAAAGATTAACACTTTTCATACAATTTTTCTCATTATTAAATTTGATTAAAGTAAGAACAAAAAACGTAGGTTTTCTTCAGCTGTTTATAACCTAGAAACAATAGTAATAATAATTTACAACTAATGTACCTACTTTGTGCCATATTAATCAAGATCAGTAGAATAATGACAACAAGTATCGCTGAACTATAAAATGGTAGAGTAGATGAATACTTAAATGTTAATAAATGTGAGAAATTTTAGAATAAATTTTTTTTTAATAACATGGAAACATGTTCCTAGACAATCAAAATTGATGTTAAAGTCATCTTAAAACAACCTTGAAATTGGATGAATTAGCACATTAAGATGGATTAAGCTCAAAAATGATTCAAGAAGGAAGGAACTTATTTTTGGGAATATGAAATAAGATATTAGGTCATTGAATAATGAAAAATAAAAGTTACCAGGGTAATGAGATTTACAACTACATTCATTTGAGTATATACAATCATTTTCAACATTTTAATAGTGATGACCAGAGGGTAACGAAACAAATTATTTGTTTGAGTCTCAATTATTTTGCACAATTTTAAAGTGTCAACATTTTGTTCACTATCAAGCAGATGAGGGGCAATGGTAATGTTGATAACACATTAACCCTTTAATCTTAGTTTTTGTAGGATATTCTGAGAGTTGCGAACGAGCATCTTTCTTCCTATTCTCCAATTTAAAGTGCCCTGGCATGAACATATGAACTAGTAAGTAGAAGTGAAAGTAACAAGGGGTAGGATTTTAACCAATTTGTCATTCTCAATAAGCAACTTGTTTAATACAGTGGGACCTGTTTAGTAGATGAACACGTCATTTTAAGTGAAGCTTTTAGTCTAGAATTTATCATCCTAGCTATTGCATCACTTGTAAAGCTAAGTGGTTAAAGGGCTAGATTTTTATCGACTTCAACAAATTTCACTTCCCTCTTTTCTGTTTTCCTATACTTATCGCTAAACTTTTGTGGGTAAACAATATCTACCAGATGCTTTCTGACAACAATTAATTCTTATTTAGTCTTCTCTTCCGTATATAGTTTCCGTACACAGTTAGATAGTGTACTAACCAAAACATTTTCGTAGCTTATTGGACAGGAACTATTGAAATTCAAATAAAATTCACTCCATGTATCTTTTCAATAAGTAGATCTCTCTAGGTAGTCTTTTGAATGGATCTGAATGCCAATTTAAAAAAAAAAAAATTCGTCATAATATTTGTGTGTAAACCTTACATTAGGGCGCACTTTATTTAAAAGATTCAGTAGATGATAAGCATATCTATGAATAACGTGAGCAAGACTTCTCTTGTCAGCATACATGACGTAGAGTTTTTTTAATCAACTATCGGATTCATTTTTGTTTGTTCCATTTTTGACATGAATATATCTGCCAGGACTGTCTCCAATGGGCAACCCATAGTGACTGTCAACTTGTCGATAAAATGTTTTTTTAAGACTGAAATCATGTACTTTTAGTGCATGATAGTAAAAACTGTTTGAACTCACCCTTTAATAATGGAAGAAAGCCACTAGGAACATAATGAAATTGTTATACATCTTTAACTATCTATATGTTAATCAAACTTTATATAGTAAAATCATTTTTGTTTTAAGTACAATATAGTATTCCTATACATTAAGAAAAACAAAAAGTTTTCTCATTTGAAGAAATTAGATCTTCAAAATCGATATAATTTTGTATCATCTCAATGCTCTGGGTTATGACGATACTCCAATTTATTATTCAACTTAGAACTTTAAAATTACTCTTTGTTACAATAAAAAGTCATAAGTCTATGTGCAACAGAACTTTAATAGTCAAGAATATTAATTATTTTGTTTGATTTCTCATAGAATTTGATGAGTGCAAAACTATGAAACATGGTTGTTCACATACTTGTGTCAATACACTTGGAGGTTATCGATGTCAATGTGAGATTGGTTATGAACTACATGCAGATGGGAAACGTTGTGAAGGTAATTAGAATGACCCAATCAAATGACTAAAAATAAACTTTGTTTATATAATGAACGAAATTTAATGATTTATTTGATTTCACATTATAGTTCAGTTGTTACCTATATCTATAAAGTGAAGTATTTTATGGTCGGGTTTACTCATTATAAAAGTTGTTTGTAAAAATAGCTTATTATTAACTGTGTTCAATCGTCAAATATTTAATATCATAAATTATGTTCCCTATTTTCAGATTTAGTAGTGAACTTGTTACCACGGCGAACATTGTTTGCACTTACACATTATCTTTATCACTATACTTTCTCAAACTTTTATTCCTCATCTGACTAAAGAAGACTATTAGTGATTTTATCAGTAGCATTAAAACGAATTTTAAAACGTCAGTTGATTTACTGTTGTGATATTACCAGGGTTATTGATAGTAATGACTTTTAAATGAATGGATATGATCTGATCTTGATTTTTGTTCATGATTCAAATTCATGTCTTCGCGGTAAAAACAAATTTTCGTAAAATCATTATTAAATAGATGTGTATTACATCTCACACATTTTAAATCTCATCAGTATGTAAATTAAAATATGGAGTTTTTCCAGTTCATTTTCCCATTTTTATCATTCATAGATAGTTGTGTTAAGTGTCATTTTGTCAGCGTAAGACAGGAATTATACAGAAATATAAAGGATCATTTGATATTAACTCAACTTTAACATAGATCCATATAGAATTTATATCAGAAGGGTTTTTTGTGGATATCATAGTAATTTCAATGGTTGAGATCATGAGTCAATTGAAGCTAGACCACTATGGAAAACCCGGAACCATTGGACGGCCACTTGGTCCTAGTATGGGACTCCTCAGCAATGCGCATCCACGATCTCGTCTCGCGGGCAAGCGCTTAACCACTAGACCACTGAGCCGGCATCCAACGGTGTTAATGTCTAACTTCAACCAATCCACGAAATTGAGCGACGAATCCACCATTGTCATCAGTGAGTTACTATGTCACAAAAGACTCGGTTGAGCTCCACTGGTTACTGTCGCATTTCGAATTAGAACAAATTAAATTAACTGATTCCATTTCACTTTAAAGAGTATTTTGATGAAATATAATGTAAAACAGTTGAGTATTTACCTACGAATGTTATAGTAATTGACTGGATATTTAAAGTAGTGCATAATGATGCATGGAAACACAGTTTGAAACCTAGTATTTGAGATACTCATGAAAAGAAACATATCAAAATGACTTTGTTTTTCTTTTCCATTAAAAAGGACCAAGAATTTCTTATTAAGAATATTTTATACATCTAGATGTTCAAAATCAACTACAACTGAATTCCATGTCTATCTTGATTCTGTTAAGACATTAATTTTCAGCTATGTACAACTTGAACGATGTTTTGAAAATGAGAAAAATTTGAATTATTTCCGTTTACACTTCACAAAATGTATTAGGAAGAAAGTTATAGAACTGATTTCAAAGTTCAGTCGAGATTAGGTTATTTTATTATTTCAACTACATAACATTATAGAATATTATGTTGCTATTGTTACTATATTCGTCAATCAATTACAATATTGATTATACAAGTGACATTATTTTCCATAAATTAGATGCATGTGGAGGGGTAATCAATGAGTCGAATGGTACTATTCAAACGCCTTTGTTTCCTGATTTATATCCACCTAAGAAAAATTGTATCTGGAAAATTTTGGCACCACCTAAAACGACAATTTTTCTTAATTTTACACATTTTAATTTAGAAGGTCATAATGTGAGTTAACTTACAGATATTTCTTATGTCCTAATGTTTTCATTTGTAAACTAAAAAATTCTTCAGTGACGTTGGTTTTGAATATATAAACTGGTTAGAAATAATTTTTTGTTGAGTGAATTGTTTCATCGGTTAAATGGCCTATTAGAATCTTTTATACCAAAGCAGTTTGCTCATTCCTGTGAAATTCAATACAAAATTACACATTAGATGTTAGTTCAAAACAACCGATGACGCTTTGATCTAGTGCTTGTTATTGAAACCATACAGGTGATGAATTTAGTTCAGAAATGTGTTAATTGAGTGCTCAATAAAATATTCTATGAAATGAATGATATTCGAACATATAAATTACTGTATTTTATGTGAGACTTACAAAACTGAGATCCCCATCATAAATAAATAAAATTATCCAATCGAAAATGTTATAAGACTTTTACTAGGCATATTCGGGAAATCATTGTGTTCTATTTTCATTTAGATCTGTCTCTATTTGTTGAAGGTTTCCAAAACATTGTATAATACCATATTTCTTCGTTCTTTAACATATCATATAGAATGATTTGAATTAGACAAATCAACACAGTTATTTGATCCACCACGTGGCTACGAGTTTATTGTTTTTTTACTAGTTTTATGCACACAACGTTATTTCCATTAGTTGTTCTAAAGAGAAGTGATTACTTTAAAGATTGTGTAATAAAGCACCATTTAGAAAATCACTACTTAACCTTTTACGAAATGAATTTGGAATTGGAAAATTTTTGTAAAGTAATTTGATATTAAATTTCTGTACTCCTCTCCATCATTTCTACCATTATTAAAGTCCCTTGATCAGACATCAAGATAGGTCAAGAATGAGCAATGCTAATATAATTTTGCATTTGAATACAAAAATTGACAACGAAGCCTTTGTAACTCAATACTAATAATAAGAAAACGGTTTATAAAATTGAGTGATCACTAAGACAGATCAAATAGTTCTGGGTTTAGGAATCACTTAATTATTTGCGATGATTACAAAAAAGTAAAGTTTGAAGTCTAGGTTTTAAGAATCAGTTAGTTACTCAAAATGATTACATGGGAATAAAGATGAATAAAGTAAGAAATTAGAGCAGGAGTTGGAATTCATAATTTGTTAATAGCAATACAGATGAAAAAATGAAAGCATAAGTTCAACATTAGTTAGATGACCAAAGAAAAGAGGACTGTTTTCTCTATATAAAGAATAGGTTTATTAAGGTGAATTCCTGTGGCTTCTACTTTGTATGGGAGACGACATCTGGATAAAAAAGAACAAGCCGAATGGAATTAGATACGTAACTTTGAATGTAATATATGTGTCGGTCTTACAGCTTGTGTTGACTAAGTGTGCTAGGATAAAACTTTCTACAGTTTTTCTTTGTTTATAAATATTCCGAATTAAATACACAGACTGTATTAAATGTAAATCCGTCGTTTTTATTTGACTATCGTTCCGGTTAAAACTAACAATGACAGCTTGATTTAAAATTGTTCTTTTCCTTGCCTAGCGAGCATGTCGATATGATTTTATCAATGTTTACAATGGTTCAACAGATAATCAACAGAAAATTGGCACATTTTGTGGTGATCAAATACCAGAGCCTATTACATCCCATACAAATGAACTCAGTATTGAATTTTATTCAGATACATCTGTACAGCGTACTGGTTTTAGAGCTGTATTCTTTACTGATCGAGATGAATGTGCTGATAATAACGGAGGTTGTCAACATTTATGTCGAAATACAATAGGATCATACCATTGCGCTTGTCGACCGGGTTTTAATCTTTACGGCAGATATGAATGCAAAGAGAGTAGGTTTCATTCAGTGTTTTAAATTATAGCAAGATGGATGTATTCAGTATCGTTGAGTTCTCTGCGCTGGATAGTTTAATTGAGAAGCATAGACCATCGGTATCTATCTAAACTGGAAATAAGCATTTTAGATTCACTCAACGAGTGGCAAGTAAGCCACTTGACAGTTACTATACATATATCCAATCGATAAGGGCACAGCATTCGAAAGAAATTCAAATGTCTAGAGTTTTTATGAGCAAACAAACAATAATATGGTAATCACGTTGAACTGATATTTTATTTAAGGGATAATTCTAAAATGTTGATTTCTAGTCCAGGTAGGTATTGTTCACTTAGTTCAGATTGGCAATAAAAGTCTTGCCATAAAACTGCTCACCATAGAAAACTCAACATTACTTTATGCTATGTCTTTATAAATTTATATTTTTAGTTTGTGGATGTTACTATATTAATTGTAAGTAGTTTACTACGGTAAATGATTATTTTTCACTTTAAAAACATTTCTGGTGGCGGTTGTAATTTCTTTTGGTTCAGTGAGAAATATGTGCCTACTCGAAGTAAATTTTGAACGACAATATCTATCCTATATGGTCCACCTTAGAAAAAGTGAAAGCTGAATTTTCAATATCAGCACCACACCTTTGAGTGATAATGAACTTTTTCACTGCATACTTTAGATGTTGGGTTGTTTCAAATAATCAGCAGCAGTTTATCAATGTATGCTTCGTGTTAGATGATATTCGTCAACAGCAAGTACTTGTGAGATTTGAACCAACTAGTATCAAAATCAGAGGCGTTAAAACGGGGCCATCAGATTCGAAATATCCGTACATCATGACTGGAGTATTCACCACGATCAATCACTGATCAATGAGCAATGTGAAACTTCTCTAGTCCTTAGCCTTGATTGAATTCTATCGGTTATATTGCAATGTAGCCACTATATTAGGTAACTGAAGGTTGAGTTCGCTATGTTTAGATGCTAGGTGGTTAGAGCTAATCGTCTATAGACCTTGAATCCAGGTATCGTGCATTTCGGTATTCGTCAACTAACCTTTTCTACAAGGATACCCAGTGATCAATCAGTGTATATTTCTTTGTTAGCAAACATGTTCTAAGATTTCTGTAAACAGGATTAATTGATTCTCATTCAGCGAGTAGTGAGTCGCTTACATTACACAGCTTAAATATGACATTTTAGAAATCGAAAAATCGTCAGTGGAATATGGCTTGAGCCATACTGAATTAAGAGTTATAGAAAGAGAAGTTACTCTTTAACGTGCTGCTTAGTTAAATTCAAAAAATTTACTTCAAAGGCTGCCTCAAATCAAAAAAGTAAAAATCTATAAATTATTATTCCAAATATCATTCATGTAACCCTCCTATGTTTTATGAATATAACTTAATGTTTGAAAATGAATATATAAAATTTCCACGTTTCTAGTCAAGTTTCTGCTTCATTTAACACAGACAAATTACTGATTTCAATGCCCTTTTAAGATATTTTTAATGTGTTCATGGGTTTCATCAGGTTTAAAGTAGTGTATTATCATTTTATAACTGAATTCCTAGATGAACGATACGGTCTGATAAAATATGTCTTTCATTTAGACTTTATTGTTTGTAAAGAACTTAATTAATAAGCTATATTAACAAGTAATATAATTACTATTTATGGACTTGAGATATTAATAAAAACTAAATAATTATTTGTATAAGATTGAATACAAAACAGATTAGTGATTATTTATTTTCCAAACACTAAACGTTTTAATCTAAGATCGTTCAATATTCAGCAAACAAAACCTTCATGTGTGACGCTTTCACCCTCTCCCCCTAATCAATAAATCACTACTTTTTTGATTGACCAGGAAGTGAATCTCTAATTCCTACTTACTCCATTAATACATTTAAACCAGAGAGTTTTGTTTCATGTTGATTTACTTTATCTCAGTGGAACAATGAGTCTTTTCTATATTTAACGATGCGAAGTATGGTATAACTTTGATAAAATCCTAATAAAGACAACCACATCTTCAAATACTTTACATCGTGATAATGGTTGATATTGGTGCATCAACAATATGGTTTTTCTTGAGGTCAATATCGCTAACTCTTGTATACAGTGTACAGTTTTGAACAATTTTTTTTATTGTACATGGTGTCTGGTATAAATTTGATTTTCTCTAAAATGTGAGCAAGTCAGTATCTCAGTAGAAGTGAAGTTTATTGGAAAAAAATATCAAAATATTTTAATCAAAATGATAATAAGAGAACTGGAAAGAGATGTCGTTCTCAGCGTCCACTATTGTCTCAATCTGGATCCACATATACCATATATAGCTTTAAATGCCTCCCTAGTCTTGTCGACCAATTGGGCATTTTGACCACAACCAATACCATTGGTATCTTTTTCAACCATACCACAAACATATTAACTCACATGATTGCGCCCAGGAGAGTTAGACGCCCGAACATTAGAATTAGTGGTCGCAAAATCTCCAATTATATCTTCTTTATTATACAATCGATTACCGAATCTCAATTCTGTATGTATGGCCTTCTTTAAGCTATCTTTTCTCTATTTTGGAAGTTTGTTAAATGATATTGTAGATCATGCTTTTCTACAGTCATTAAGTTACAAATTCATCAGTTTAACACTCTACGTGTATTTCATTTTTTACAAAAACCGTTATAAAAGGCCACACATATTTCACACAATTGATAGTCATTATTAATATACTGTATGTGTGATTATTATTTTAAACAAGAATACAACTATCATTACGATTACTATTATTATCATTATTATTATTGTTATTATTATTAGATTGAAACATTGTACAGTTCAATAGCTTTTTGTTTAAATTATCTCATCGTTGGCGACAAAATTAAGTTAAACAATAGACAAATATTAATTAGTTTATTTGTATTTTTGATACTTATCTAATTTTTTTTCAACTCATATCAACAATATGAATAAGATTATCATTTTACGATTAGTATATAATTGTTTTTTATCTTTGTAATGTGAAAAATGATCGGTTTAATTTTAAGTTGTCAAGTAATTGGGGTTCATTAATTGCGTGATATGATTCCTGATTATATATATATATAATGTTACATTGAACTAAGAGTGTGTATATGTGTGTTTCATGATTTGGTCACTATCAGTGATAATAAACTGTTCATTATCACTACCACTATTAAATGATCATGTGTTTGTACTACTGAATTGCTGTCTCTAAGTAATCTAAGTGAAATTTAGCGTTTAAAGAGTTAAAGTATTTTTTTAATGAATGATTCTCATTTTCTAATCGTTTTTACTTATTTTCATTTGCGTTCCCAAATTATTTGATGAGTAATTTAAGACTGGTTGTCGTCAGTAATTAACACCAATCGCAGAATTCTTGAAATACAAAGAACAATAGACAGTAATTTTATCTTAGTTTAAGATACTTCACCATTCTGTACCAACAACTCCATACAAGGTTTAGTTTAAAACTCGAAGATCTCAAAGTAAACATCATACTGATGAGCCACTAGACTGAAATCGAATGGTCTAGTTTCTTTCCTTAGCAGTGCTCATCCACTCATCCGTCAAGTGTTGAATTCAGGACAATCAGATTTCTCAATGGACACCTAACCATTAGAGCCAGTGATTCATAACCCAATCGTGAAATCCTAAGTTCAATCAATTACCAATTTATTATGAAAATCACTTAATGTCACTGATAACATGTGTTTCACTCCTAATATGTTTGAATTCCATCAGTCACAACTACTCAGTAATCATCTAATAGTTTATATTAAATCCTCTATATTAACTAATTAACTAGATACTATGATTAAAATTAAATACCATAAGTGAATAATTTCTTCAATCTACTCATATCAATAATGATGATTAGTCTGATAGAATAAGTGCATTTTTCACTTTTTTTGAGAATTTGTTCTAATTGATATCGTATAATTCACTGAGCTTGATAGATACAGGTGCCGACTAGGTAACAGAGTTCTACTAATAGTTGTTTTTCTAAAATTATTTACTATCAAAAAAGTATTTATCGAAAGAAGATACTTAATTAACATTTCAACAGATGTTGGTAATAAGTTTGTAGCATTATTCCGACTATCTAATGTTGAGAATCATATTTATCGAATTTTTATTAAATCAGCTACTAAGCATTGGTCTTTTTATCCGTTTCTGGTGAATATGGATATCATATCACAAAACTTGGTGATAAATTATCGAAATCATCATTCAATTTGCAAATATTTTAAAAATATCCTCGCTTCTTCAACATATGCCGATTTGAAGAATCAAATCACTAAACATCTGGAATAAGCGGTAACTAAGTTTTGGTTATAATGTAAAAGTCTTGAATAATTGTAACTTAATAAATAAAACAAAATACAATAACTGCGAACAACAGTGATGTAAAGCCAGTCAGTCAGCTACAACGTAGGACCAAACACATATGTACATCGGTCCAAGTTGCCATACCTTATTACCACAACAAGATGAACACTGAATTCATAGTAGTTAATTCAATGGTAGTAATATATAAAAGAAAGATTGCATATAAGGTTAAAGTACAGGAAGGAAGAATTAGTTCGTAGAAAGAAAGCTATGAAGCAATTTTAATCTCATAGTTTAAGGGAAGACAGAGAGTGTATACACCTACGCCATTGTGATCGATTCTGGATCATGTCACCAAGAGTCTCCAACCATTGCTTACGATAATCATGCGGACTCCAACCAAGTAGTCTTCATCTACTAACATGGCTCAGACCAGAAGTTAGTGGCTTCAAGCACTGATGCCACGTTATGGTTTGGCCGCCCCTAGCTTTCTTCCCACCATCCCCTACACTAGTCAGCATTGCGCATCGTGGTAACCGGTGTTCAGGCATACGCAACACGTGGTCCAACCATCTCAGTCGATGAAGATTCACAACCCCATCAACTGGTTTACCACCATTCTCTAATACCCTGCGTCTAACCTCACTATTACTTACCAGATGATCCCAGCAGATGCCAGCAATATTTCTAAGGCATTTATGGTCAAATACTAGTAGTTTACGAGTATCTTCTACTCTTAATGTGATGTAAAATTAACATATAATTTAAAGGGAACACTTAATGACCAAAAGCAACTTACTTCTTTATGGTAATATTACTCTTTTAATATGTAGCTATAAAGATACCAATACGTCAACTTTAATGAACTCAATAACAATTGCATTGTTGACAATTATTCTAAAGGGAACTAAACCCATACACAAGGTAATTATAGTTGTATTTCTATTTATATCTAAGGTGATACGTAGCATCCGACATTTTTTGCAATAAGTGACACAAATCGCTTAGTAGCTTAGTGGAACTGGATTTTTACCCTAGTGTCAACATCCAATTGATAAGTCACAATCAGAATGAGATGATCATCCTGAATTCCCCCTCTGTCCACAAACAATAGAGACTATTATTATTTGAATAATTTGTCAGAGTATAGTGTGCATTCAAAATAGTATAATTAAATAAAGTATTTAATTATCTCGTTTGCATTTTTCTGAAATCTGTTTAAGATTATCTTATATATCATAAAAACTGCATAGATTTTGATGAGAAATAAATGTTTTTTTCCTACTGTCACTGTAATTACTTATCAATAAATGCTGAGCTTTGCTTTTATGTGAAATATATCTCTAGTTGTCTTTTTTTTATTCAATAAAAGAGATCATCGGATCTCCTCTGATCATTTATGATCAGTTCACCCCTGACTATACTATCACTATACATGAACTTCGAATTTTAATTATTATTATTATTCATTTGAACTGATCAATGAAATAGTTTAAATCAATACAAACAACTTCTTATTCATCCCCCCCCTCAAACTTCATCTAAATGAAAAACTTTGTTTAAGAGATTTAATGAATTCAAGTAAACAGCTAGTGTGTATAAGTGTGTTTGTAATAACCTTGAAAACGGGATAAGAAGTTTGTATCTCAAGAAGTGACAAAATAACGGGTAAAATGCGTTTAGCTGAAACAATGTTGGGAAATTAATTTGTAAATACTGCGTAATATAAACGTTTCTTTGTATATTTAGCCACATCATATTCTTTCACTGAATAATACTTTTAAAAAACTTTCTTTAAAGTTGTAAGTGAAAATTAACAGAAAAATTCTCTTGTCATAGTTTTTACCTTATTTAGTATGATGATACGTACCTGGATGGATCATTGTTTTTGTTTAACTAGACATTAAAACTGGATGTCAGCAAGATATATCTTCACCCGATGGGGAGATTATCACTCCAAATTGGCCAAATGAATATCCCGTGAAGCAAAATTGTCATTGGAAAATCACTGTAACACCTGGTCATCGAGTGAAAGTTGTAAGTGGTCATTTAGCATAATTAATCTGATTTTACCATAGAACTGTGTATGATATTCATTATAAGGTTTTGATGTATAAATTATTAGATAGGGTACGTTTTCCATATATTGTTGACAGGAATTTATATGTATTTTAGTCGACATATTGTTTGCTTTTAAGGTTTAGTCGTTGAACGTTTCAACGTCAGTCTAGACATTGTCTTCATAGAATACACCTGATTATGGTCATTCGAATTGATAAATGCTTAAATAAACATGAAGACACGCTCGTTAATTATTTAGTAATAACGATAACATTAATAAGTTAACAATGAATCATAATGTGAATGCAGTAAGAGGATCAAAATGTATTACGGAATGCATCGACGAAAAACTCGCGTTCCTCAGGAAAACTCTAGCGTAAACGACTATCCAAGTTGCTTCATAGAAAAGAATACTTAAAAAAAATGTTGGGACAAGGAATCCGGTTCTTTGTCTAGAAGTAATACCTTTATATGAATTTGGAATTTAAAGGTGACCGAACAACTGATGTAACTAAAAATAGGGTAACGGCAGCGATAAAAATAACGATCTATGCGGCAAAACTGCAAATAAAGTTCACTAATGGAAACTTGTTTTCTGTATCTGTAAAGGACAAGCTTCCTCGTCTGGTCGCCTCCATGGACATTTGCCAGTTCACCTGCTCTTGCAGAGCTGGGTACATAGGCCACAGTCAATGCTTGCCTTCAACTCGGATAATAGAACATTTCCCAGTGTGGTTCTATAAGAGTGAGAGGAAAGCAGTTAGATATTTCATCCTTGAGCATCTAATCGACTCTGATCATTCTACCGATCCATTGATTGATTTTATGGTTATGTATTCAATTAGTACCAATTTACCCAGACTTATTCGCATCCAACTCCTTAAAATAACAGAGGCTCATACCATCCATGAGCTCAAGATAGAATAGTGCGTACCAAAGAAGTACGTTCTATCGTTATCGTTCCTTTGGTCTTAATTTCTTATTATCATATTATTATTTTTTCCATTTTGTAATCCCCCTTTTCCTTTACTTATGTCTCATATCCTCATGATCTTATTCATAATTATTCATGACATTACCTCATCTAATTTTGCACCTCTATTACATTTAATCACCTTTAGTTACCTTCAGTCATTGCAACAAAATCATTTTGATCCTTTTATTGTACTGTGAAATTCGACTATCTGATTTAGTATTTAGCATAATGAGTAAAAAAGCCTTTATACATAAAAAAAATCCATTGATATCAAACGAGAAACACTGTTGTATTATGTAAGAAGTAAACATATTTTTCAAGTATATGACTGAAAGCATCACTATCAATAAACATTATCGTCAGTAATAGGATAAAATAATCGAACTGGCTTGAAAAGTTGATTTAAGCAGTTTATCAACCATAGTTTATGGCAAAGAGTTATTGATTCTTAGTAGATTTACTTATTTACTTTTAACTATAATTGTATTGTAGATATTTGCCGATTTTGAACTTGAGTCACATCAACAATGTACATATGATCAAGTTATAGCTTATGATGGACCAACAAATAGTTCCGCTTTTCTTGGTCAATACTGTGGTAGTAGAAAACCTGGCCCAATTATTTCTTCACAGAATCAGTTGTTGCTTACATTTAATTCTGATTCATCTGTTCAACGTAAAGGATTTCGAGCTCAACATACTACAAGTCAGTTGTGATATTCTATTAAGAAATACAATAGTGATTATTAGAGTTAGAAATATGAACTACTGAACGCCAACTTAGTGGTCTGAAGGTTAAGTACTGTCCTTCAAGCCTTAATGTTATATGTTTGATCCCTGATGGGGCTATATTTGCCTGCAGCTGAGGATTCCCAGAATTTCAAGATTTAATCGACAGGATAATCTTTGTAAAGTTGTAAGACTTGGGAACAAAATGAGCCTCAATCGGTCGTAACGTCACATGTCGTAGTTTTATTTATGTTTCTAGGTTGATATTTGTTAATCAGTGGTAGTTTATCAGTAAAAACTCAGATAAATGTTATACAATGATTTATCATATCTGAAGACATTTATCTTCAAATAACTTTATTGTGATATGACTAAAGGTAGCTAGACATAGCTCATATCGTTGCCAAACAATAAGTACGAATATGGTTGGAGAGGTGCAAATAAAGAAAAATACTGACAGATTGCTACTTGTGGATCACAGAAAACGTTACTAATATGAGTACTGGTGATTATTTCTATAGATTTTTGTAGTGCAGGTATCTGATTATATTTCGAATTAACCTGGATTAGTTTTGCAGATACCACTGAATAGTGACATTGACTCTTGGTATGAAAACAAGTTTACCAAGATCGTATGGTCAAGAGATGCTAAAAGCATATAACCCTAAATACGAACCGATTGCTTCGATCGTAGCATGATGAAATTTCTATTTTGTTGTCTTTGATCGTCACTTGATGTTTATCTACTTTCGATTCACAGGTAATGATCCCTCCGACACTGTGTTATCAACCTCACTTGTCAATATATTTTAGGCGCATATGTTCGGTTAGTACACCGTGACTACTTTAAGTTAGCAGTCATCAAGATAACTGAGTCTGAAAATAGTTGAAATACTAAAACAGTGAAGATTTATGCCTTAGGTGGATGCTTTTGCTTGTGACGTGTTGTATGATGTGCGCGGTTTAACTGCAAGTCTTTTATTGTCTGTTTAAGTAAACAAATCATCTCTGTATGAATCAAGTACTGATAATACAGTCCAGAAGGGTAATAGAAGCATCACAGCAAAATCACCCAACTCAGAAAACACATCATTACCCAAATTTCAAGAAATTAAAAGAAACCAACTTATCTAGAATTTATGCTGTCTTAACACCTTAACAAATAATGGTATGAGATTTTGGAGAGACTCTAATTTATGGACGAGCCAATCAGGAGCGTTTGAGCAACTTCAAGGTCACAGAGCCAAGTTCAACACCTGATGCTCACATACGATCGGTTTACAGCGGATTTTAGAGAAGAGGTGATTATTGAGCGGCTACAAGAGATGAGACTACTAAGAAGTTCTTGTACCTATGACTGCGGTTATCAAATGACTGCAGTAAAGTGTGCAGACTACCGTGATGAGATTGTATTTCGTTGTTCTTTATGTTGGAGGAAAAAATCTGCTCGAACGGGGACTTTCTTCGCTCGATCGCGACTGAAACTGAGGCAAATCATGATAATAGTTGCAAATTGGATAATAAAGACACCAGTAACACTGGCTGCGGCGTTTGCAGATGTTACTGAAACTTCAGCAGTTCAGTGGTATGAGTGTTGTCGTGACATATGTGCAATCAAAATGACACGACTACACCAATCATTCAGAGGAGTAGAAAGTATTGTGGAGATAGATGAAACAGTAGTGAGAAAGCGAAAATACAACAGGGGACGTAGTATCAAGGAAGATTGGGTGAGTAGCACTTCCGTAAATATACTTGACAGGTACTTGAAATTTATGATCGATCAACGCAAAAGGGACATTTTCAGAGGGTCAGAAACCCGCAAGCAAGCACAATAATACCACTTATACGGGGATACGTGCAGTCGGGCACTACGGTATATACGGATGATTGGAGAGCTTATAGATGCCTTCATAGACTTGGCTACGTCCATCATGTCGTAGTGCATAAACGTCATTTTGTCGACCCTACTACTGGCGTTCATACTAACAACATTGAAGCCATATGGTCAAGATTGAAGGAATTTTTAAGACCGTACCATGGCTCTAGAGGACGACTATTATGGAGCCATATGGACGAGTTCCTATATCGTATGCATTATGATTTCAGAACATCTGAACCTTTATGAAGCCTTAACAAGTTTTAAAATCATGTAAAAGAAGAATATTCACTGTAATTCATTAGTTTCTTATAATATATTTTTACTATATACTGTTTTCTGATTGGCTAATAATTGTCAAGGTCATTTAAGATTCGTTCAAAGTTCGTCCATACATTAGTCTCGCCGAGATTTTTAGATTAGGAATCAGATTTTAGAAATGCAAGTTTTTTTTGTTTGGTGAGTATTTATATATCAGAAGTATGTATTGATTTTCTTAATAACTTTCTCCTAAAGTTTGTGGTGGTCATCTAACTGCTGACAGTGTTCCGCAAACAATTTATTCACATGCTAAGTTTGGTGATCTCGATTACGAATCAAATCAACAGTGTTACTGGACAATTACACCAAAATTAGATAATCATACTGTTCTACTGAGATTTCTTTATTTTGAAGTAGAAGAAGAAACACTATGCACGTAAGTTTATTAATCGTGAACAAAAATTATCTATTCTAGTGATTATTTACAATGGGGATAGTCCGGGAATGATGTCTCTTACTGTAGTAGGCAAACAGCCCGGCTTCTCCCAAATGCCCTGAACAGATCGAGTAAAAGCGATGACTTCTGCTATAACAGAATGAATATCATAAAATTTGGTACTGATTTCCCAAATTATTATTGATTTTAATTTTGTTGAATAACTAATTATTAACTAGAATACTATGTTCATGCATTCCATTTATCATAAGCTTTCAGTTAATCCATGAACTACTATCATACGACTTAATGTTCCCAATTTCTCAGTCTATTATTTACAGTCTCTCCAGTTCACAGTCACTTTGGTTTGTTTATATACAGTTATTATCTTCTATTTTATGACGTGATGCTGTCCAGTATGTCTGTATATCAACCACATCTGCTTGAAATAAAGATATAGTAGAAACTGGTTGTACATGTATTCCACATTTATAGAGGAATGAGTGGAGTACGAACTTGTTTTTGCCATCCACTACAAGAAAAGTACATCTTCTGAAGGTACTTCACTGCCTTTCGAAAAAGCCTTCAAATTAAAGACGCAATCACATTCCCAAGACGGTGTCACAATCCTCTCATAAGTTGTGTCACATACCTTAGCGGAAAGATATTCTTCTGTTTTATGTTCACATAAGAGGTGATCTCTTCCTCTTGAAAGTAATAAACAAGTTGCTATTTTCAGAAATGACAATAAAGTATATTCAGATGTTTTTGGAGATCTAGCAGCGATGTTGCCTTAATGTACTTCGAACCTAAATAATTCAGGAAGCTAGATCAGTCAGTCAGTAACAAAGTAGAACTTCGTACGTACGTACATCATTTCGAGTTGCCATACCACATTAGCACAGAGGTGCAGTTGTCGATTAAAATGCCGTAGTAAGAGTATAAGCAGTAATCCGAAAGATTAAGGTTTGAAGATGTTATTTAAAGAGTATAATCCAGTGAAATAAATTTGGTAAGAGAAAAAAAGAGACAAGGAGAATCCAGCATATTATAATTTGGGAGGACACAAAGAGTGGATGCACTGCGCCATTCCAAACGATTTTGAGCCGTGTCATTCAAGGTCTCTAACCATCGGTTGCTATCATCTCGCGGTCCCCAACCATGTAGTCTACATCTACCAACATGGCTCAGCCCACTTGTCAGTGACTACATGGATTTGTGCCATGTTTTGGTCTGTCCACCCCTAGCTTTCTTCCAACCTACTCCTACACCAGTGAACATCGCACGTCGAGGCAGTCAGTTGTTGGGCATACGTAACACGTGTCCCAGTCATCTCAACTGATGAAGTTTCACTACTTCATCAATTGCTTTGCCATCCTTACCTAGTGCTCGTTTTCTAACAACTGCATTACTTACTCGGTGATTCCAGGATATACGAGCGATGTTTCGAAGACACCTATGATCGAATATTAGTAACCTATGAATATCCTCTACTCTTACCGGCCATGTTTCACTGCCATTGAGTAGGACAGAACGAACTGTTGCGCAGTAAACAAGTCCTTTGGTTGATAGACGGATATCTCGCCTACGCCATAAATGACGCAAGTTGGCAAAAGCTAGTCGAGCCTTCTGTATCCGTGCTGAGATTTCGTCACACACCAGACCACAAGGGCTGATGGACTTCTAAGATAAGTGAAGCGGTCGACATGCTCAACTATTTCACTCCCTATCATTATTTCGGGTGTCGATGCAACCCAATCCTGAAGCAACATTTCGCATTTCGAGGGAGAGAATCGCATGTCGAACATGCTTGCGTTGTTGCTTATAGTGGTCAGAAGACTGCATTTTGTCAGCGTCTTCACCAAACAGAACTATGTCATCTGCATATTCTAAGTCAACAAATGAATCTCCCGGTAGAAGTTCAACTCCTGGAAATTTAGATGAAGAAAGTATTATCTCTAAAAGCATGTCAACGAAATAGTTAAACAAGAATGGAGAGAGTGGACAGCCCTGACGAACACCACTTGAGGTAATTAATTCTGATGACAGTTCGCTATAAGCTCTCACTCGACCAGTTGTATTCGAGTAGAGAGCATTCACAAGGTTAATGTACATCTTTGGTACTGCTTTCAGTGACAAACACTACCGCAGAACCTCACGATCGACAGAGTCAAATGCCGCCTTAAGGTCGAGAAATACTACCATTGTGGGGCGTCTGAATGTGTGTCTGTGTTCTAGAACCTGACGTAGTGTGAATATCTGGTCTATACAACCACGTCCAGGTCGAAAACCAGACTGATTTTCTCTAGTCTGTTCTTCACGAGCTTTGGTTAGGCGTCGAAGTATTATTGAAGCTAATACTTTAGACACTATATTAGTCAAACTGATTCCTCTGTGATTGTCACAAGAAGACTTATGTCCTTTTTTATAGACTGGCACAATCAGTGATTGAGACCAGTCAGATGGGATTACGTCTAGTTCCCAAATTCTACCTAAGACCTAAGTCAATCTTGCTGCTAATACTGGACTCCATCCTTAAAAATCTCAGGGGTAAACCTGTCAGGGCCTGTTGCTAGATAGAAAGTAGTGATTTCCGTTTATTCGTCAATATTTATTGAAATTAGGAAGATCTATAAATGACACTTAATCCGTCGTCACAGAAGACATATATATCCTGATTAGACTGTCCATAACAAAAGGTGAGGTCTCTCGAAATTTTCAAATATTTTCTATATTCGGCTTCTGTTAATAGCATCGATCAGATCTTACCTATTTCTCCGTAAAATTACTACTGATTTGATATAGATTCGAGAGTATTTCAACCCATTCAAATAATAAACCTCAAGCAGAAAGACTATTAGCTATCTATGAAAAGATTTGTAGTGTTTATTTTTTTGTCTCACCGATTGCCCAATCTTTTAGTAAGGTATACAATACATTTTATTTTAGAATTTTGGTATGTCTGTACCCCAATCTAGGTTTGAATTATCTGTGGGGGGATCAAATGCATTTCCAAACTACCATCTGAGTCACATTGCCCCATATGATGAATTAAGTAGTTCATTATATACATATATACTTATCATTAGGTATAAACGAACATTTTACTCTTAAGCAACGTGGGTGAAGGTATAGAAATAATTTGTCTATAAATTAGTTGAAAGCTGAAACTCTCATTCCAGAAATTCTTAAAATTATCTTTAACATTTATTATTCATTCTTGTTTCTTTGTTTCTTTGTAATCGTTGTGAAATTACATCATGCTTGCTAAAATCCTCGTATTATTCAGGTACGACTATCTTCGAATTTTCGATGGAGGTGATCCTAAAGGAAAACTTCTAGGTGGTTTTTGTGGGAGAACTGTAAGTGAATGGGCATTTTTTGAAAAATGTTTTTTTAACACTTACTACCCATATCTTCGTCTTTTGTTATGCATCCACTTTTTTCCCGGCTATGATTAAAACTACTGTGGTTTTTTCATTTTAGCTCCAACAATAAATTTTGAGGGTATAACCATATTTTTTAATTGTAGTTTTTGACTTGAGTGTTGTCTAGGTGAGTGCTTCTTCTACCCAAATATAAAGTATTTTGAGTAACAAATTATCTATGACTGTAACTGCATTCGAACTTCATTTTAAACGGATGACAGTGTGGTTACTAGAACTCATTCTTCATAAAACGACAGTCACTGTACAAATTATTGGCTCTTAAATCTGTCCTGAAACAATAAATAACTGACTATACTGTTTTTAAAATTATTAATATTATTGGGTGATAGGTTTAAGGAGTGCAAAAAGGGAAGGGACGGAAATTTGTTCATCAGTGCGGAGGTGAGTGTGAATAACAAATTTGAACAACAGTTGTTTTCATGTTGAAAATAGTGAATTTCACGTAGATTTTTTCGAGTGCTAGGAAGAAATACTCGCAAAGTGTATCACTGATAAAGTTAGAAGATCATACCGGAAGGGGTAAGAAAATTATATCCTTTAAATTGATATTGTATTTGTTCATGAATTCGATTTCTAACTGAACTGAACACTCCATCTTTATATTATTACCTTAGAACACTCTTGTTTATAGCTCTGCTCTCGTCCAGTTTTTCTCTTCGGTGAAACATTTTCTTCACTGACAATAATTGTTCTTCCAAACAGCAATAATCCCCAATAAATTTGCAAAATAAACTTTAGCTACTCACAAGTAGTACTAAATCATTTCAGTTACAATTATAGACACCCGATACAACTAGTGAATTTCACTCAAATATAACAACAAAAATAAACGAAATACGATGTCATAAATCTTTATTTAAATAACCTAAAATAAAGCGATATAAAAACTTAAATCCTTTTTTATAGTTTTTTTCTTCAGTTTACTACTTATGGTAATTTCAGTGTGAATTGATGCTTTTATGTATTTAGTGTTTTAATAAAATTCTGTGATTCGGATGGAAGTCGTGATAAAACCCAATGAGATAACAAGTAAATTTGATTTTAGCATGATAAGAAATTGAAATCATAGTTAGAAGGAATTTCTTTCATTTCACTTGAAGTGTGCTTTCCATTCACAAGATAGTTTAATAATTCTAAAAATATTTATCTGTTTAAATCCTTGAATGACAAGAGCATTATATTGTACACATGTTCCCATCCGAACTAAATTAATACTTGTCACAGCATATGTAGTAATTATGACAATATATCATTGGTGAGTTTTCCTGTCATTAGATTTAGAAGGGATTTCTTCGCCCTCACATTTTTTTAACAAAAAATACGATCGATAAAAAGTTATTCTTGTTCATTATAGCATTTTTTTTTCAGATGATTCTACGTGAACTGATGTCTGATGGATAATAAATATTTGCTTTCCACGAGCTAACTTTAAGATTGGTTCTTGAATTTTTAGTAAGAAACTAGGACTGGCGAGTTTGAATCATGTAGGGTGTAAGGTAGTTTCTGATCGATGCCATCGTATGATCATTGCGTTGTATTATAAATTGATTGCACTCAGAAAAATTGACTTTTGGACACCGACTTAGTAGTATGAAGGCATTACGCGCAACATGGGACTTAAAGGTACCACGCTCAATCCCTGGTGGTGTATTAAGCGAATATTACTTAGAAATTCTGAAATATAACGAATCATCTGTTCAAAGCTCAATCACCTTCAGTAATTCTCCAATTAATATCATTTTGTTATGGGAACCCGCCTTTAGATTGAACTAACCCCAACTTATATAACTACTTCGGTTCAAAACGAGTTTGGAAATTAAAGAAAAGTAAAATTATGAAGAATTCCATTATACTACTTAACAATATGTATTTATATTCTTAATGTAGTAACTTTCTACATTATATTTATGTAAATAAAATAATAATAAGTGAATGGATTTTAACAATGGAATAACTACTCTTGAATGATGATGGAGGTGACAATAATAATAAGCAGAAAACATAAAAGAATGTAAATCTATCATGTTTATGAAATAAAAATAATATAAGATGGTTTTTTATAAATTCCTTTATTTAATTATCAAGACGAATACAATGGTGAAATACTGAGCTCTCCCCTATTTCCACTTTAATGTATCTAGTTCTTTTAGATTTTCATATAATTCTAATACATTGTCTACATGAAATACTCAAATGTATTGTAAATGCAGTGAAACAAAGACTACTACTACTGTAGTGAATAAACACTCAGGTGGGGGGGGAACCAGTTTGTTGATTGATGCATAATCACATGTCGTTTAGTAAAATGTGAAAATCACACATCAAATACATCATTTGTAAATTTCCTTCCTCTTACAAGCTTCGCTGTTCCTTCATCCCTGTTTTTATCTTGATGGCTTTCAGTTCCCTTCTCTTTTCTCTTCATTTTAATATTCTCGACCTTCTGCTCGCAGGCATTCTACTTCTGACTGGTGGCGGTATACTACTACTACAATTATTATTATTACTACTACCACTACTACCATAAATGACTTTGTTTAACATTCCAGGAACACTATGAGAGATGATATTATTTTATTGAACGTGTATCCTATATATATACTAAGGATTTGTATAATTTGACTGTTTGTTGATATTATTTAGACAAGTTGTCTAAACATAAATTCTATCAAACTTTCCTTTATTATCAATGTTTTTTCAATACATTGGTGTAAACCTACACACACCCAAGATATGCACGCATATGCAAAATCAGAAAATCCAATTTAAATAAAGGAAAAGGTTTTATCATTTCAGATGGGCACTAATACGTGTACACGAGCTTACATACATGTACACAAACAATTAAATGCACACACACACACACAGAAAACAAAATGCTTATCGGTTTATTTTCTATAGAAAATAAATGAGAATATCAACCACTTGGAGATGTACATTGATTACCCCTGCTATGATTTATCTAAACAGCCGAAACATCAATTATCATAAATTTTAATGGAAAATCATTCAAAACTATTATTATTCCGTAACCATTCTCCCAGACTACATAATTTTTGTTTTCACAAGATTTTCACTTAGTTGGAAATTATTATGTTGTAAAATGTACATTTTTTTCCAGAAAATATATTAATGGTTTAATCGTTTTGACCAACAGGTTACTTAGTTAATTGATCTTAGTTACTATGATCATTTCTGTTGATAAATTTGACTACTGTCAAATCACTGCTAAAAATAGTTCTTCCCCCATAAAACATATGATTTCTGTCAACGTCTACAAATATAGTCTAAATGAATTGCTCGGATTGTGATAATTTTATTTGACTAGACAAATAATCTCTACTATAGTTATATGTCTCAATCACACACGCACACACATTAGTATTGAATCCTGAAATAGCTTGAATAATAAATTCAATAGTTTACTAACCATACTGTTCATGTGTTCAGATCAAAAGTTTGTTTTTAGTAGGATCTAAGAAAGAAACACACACACAGAAAAAAAACAAGTAAACAAACGACCTTTTTAAGTCTAAAATTGTATTGACAATTATTTACTTCACACACTTTTAAAAAGTGACGATTTTTATATTCAATCTCCAATGGCAATCAATGTAAACTGCACAGAAACTAAAGTAAGACGAAAAATAAATAAATATTTATAATAAATCTATGAAATTATAAATAGCTCCCATTTGTCAACCTGTTAATCCAATTAATATTACAATCATAGTTTTTCTTAGTAGTATACGAATGGGGGGTTTATGATAATGGTAACATAAATAGGTTCTATCAGGGGTACTTCCTGTCACCAGTTAAAATGTAACAATTAATTGGGAGAAATAATCAATTGAATCTACCTGTCTAACTTTACCAACAGCAATAAATATTATAAGAGAGAATGCTAAAAAAATTAGCTCAATTGTCAAATGAGTGCTTGTTTCGAATATTTAGAAAATCATTATTATTATTATTATTACCATGATTATAAATAGTAACATTAAACTTGTCAATATTATCACTAAGAGATGAAAATGAAATATATGCAGAAAATGACCAGTTCATGAAACAATTGAAATAATGGTTCCTACTGCTATTAAAATAATAAATTTGGATAAAATTAAACTGATTATGTTGATGAACTAGTAATGGTAGTGGTGGTGGTGGTGGTTGTAACGATTTTGGTACCATTTCGTGGAAATTTGTTTTAAAAAATTGAACATACCAATGGTCACGCAATATCACAAATTAGCTGTAGTTATAAATATAAACCATTGGATAACAGCTTAGTGATACAAAAGTTCGTTACTGGTACCGAAGCTTGCAGGTCCAAGATTTGTTCTTTGGTAGAATCATGAATGCTGAGAAGTCCTATAGTAGGGCGAAATTGAACTCTAATCCTTCTTGATTTTCAGTGGTAAGATCCAATAATGTAAAGTACAGCAATAAATATTGACTTAATTTTTTTCATTTATTACCAGCCGACATTTTCCATATAGCATCTAGTATATTCAATACCAACGTTTAAATGGCCTGAATATCTATTCAATGAATTGACGATCCTGAATAGATTTGCAGATAAAATTACTGCGTAGTTAAAGCAATAAAGTATTTTGTAGATACCATATTTCAATAGATCTACTTCAAGAAATTTTGTCAAGTATTTAAATGTTTCTGCATTTGCGGAAAACACTAACCATACAAAACACCTGTTCAATATTCCAATTTTGTTTGTTATGCTGGTTATTATCTATCATATGCAAATAAATGAAACTACTAGTCTTTTCTTCATATTATTTTCTTCTTGTCAAAGTTACCGAATACATTTTTGTCAAATTCTGGACAACTGTATCTTCAGTTTGTTAGCGATGATACAATTGGTGGTAAAGGTTTTCAAGCACAATATCAAATGATTCCATATGATTTTAAATTACCGAAGCATGAAATCGATTCACAAGTGTTAATCAATCAAATACCATCTCATTCATCTTCCTCTTCTTCTTCATCTTCCTCATCATCATCTCCATCATCAGTTTATTATGGTAAAAACGAAATGTTACAGCAATATCAACCATTTCATGGTAATCGTTATTTATTTCCACCAGCATGGGGCACCGGAAGGATTCGTTATTTTGGTGATATGCGTAGTTCTGAAATGACTGAAAATTATCAATCTACTCGACCTTTTAATTATAATCCGTCATATCAACATGTAAAACACTCATCAACTATACAACAGACAAATCCTATGATCTACTCACAAAATAATATTTATCAACGTCGCGATGGAAGACTTCCTGTTAATCGAGATAATTCCCAATTACCTTGGCGATTTGCTTATACCTATCCACAAGCTAAAAGTTCATCAACTATAACTGCTACTAATAATCTTTTCAGATCCAGTCCGTCATACACAACATATAATTCCCGTTCATCTAAGCAAACTTCAAGTCAAAGTAAATCACCAGCAGAATTTCTACATACAACTATGCGACCAGTTTCTCCTTTACTATCGCAAAATGCAATAAATTCAAGAAATCCACGTATAAGTAGTACATGGCATGTACGACCTGGTCGTATTGTACACCAACCTCAATTAAATATCATTAACAGAATAATTCAACCAAATTCAAAAAATTACCAATCTTCACCACGTGATATTCTTCGACAAGTAAAATCACATTCGTATCAACGGAAGCAAACAGAACAAAATCCCAAAAGTCCTATGCGTTTTCATATAGTCACTCAAAGGAATCGAAGCCCACCATTGTTTTCCGGTGGTAGCCAATGGAAACAGAGAAGTATGCCTTTGAATAGTAGATCACGTTGGGATGATAATAGAGCTATTAAAGCATTTTAATTATTAAATATAAATTATAGTATTGCTTCATTTTCTTCTACAAATGCCTCAATTTTTTTTTCTGGTTTTGTTTTAACTTTATCTAAATTCATAGACGGAACTGATTGTAATGAAAATTAAAATAAGTTTATTTTTGCATAAAAAGAATTTTATTTGTGAGACAATTAAATCTTTAAGGTTTTGTTTAAATGAAACGAAATAAGCTAACTGTTCAATAGATAAACGACGTTTAATATTTCAAGAATAGCTGGAATTACAATCTTATAATAACTAAATTAGTTATTAATTTTAAATGAAAACAATAATCTATTCCCTACTGCATTTTGTATAATAATTAAAAAGTCTATCACTACTGTTAAATTAGGTAATGTTTATTCGATTATGTTAACATACAATTAGAAACATGACAAATATATTTGGTGTGGATATGGATTGCATTTTATTATTATTCTATTACTCATTTATTGTAATTTATTCACTCCATATTTCCATGTTTCCATTTGTTTCTCGATTGTTCTTTTTTTTGCATAAAAAATAAGTAAAGTAAATAAAGATGAACACACAATTTAAAACAAACGAATAACCTTTGTATGTAATTTTAAGATTCGTATACGAAATCATTTGAAATTTAAACTTCTTGAATAAATATTGTGATGTAATTAATATTAGTTGAAGCTTTCGTTTATTTCAATGAAAGGTAAATATGCTAATGAACTGCTAAATAATTTCATTGATTTCCATTATTTAATATGAAATTTAATAGTTGAATTCATGGGTCAATTAAGACTAGACCATTATGGAAAACCTGGAAGCATTAGACGGCCGTTCTATCCTATTGTGAGACTCCTCAACTGATAGGTCCTGGTTTCGAGTCTCGTGAGGCGGGGTTGAGGATTCGCACTGTTGAGGAGTCACATACTAAGATGAAACGGTCGTCCAATGCTTCCAGGTTTTCCATGGTGATCTAGCTTTAATTGACAGATGAATTCAACTATTAAAATTACTATAATATCCACAAAACCTCTCTCTATTAAATATTAATATAAAGCTAATACTACTGATACTACAACCACTACCACTACTACTACTATGTAGTTTTAAACTAGGGGATAATATTACGACATTAGAAATATAAACGACATTTTTCTCCCAAATTAAAATTAAAATGGAAAACTGTTTTTCTAATAATGATTTATAAACAGACGAAATGTCAGTTTCCCACTCTAAACAACATTTACATTTACTCAGCTAATAGAATATTACCGTCGATAAATGATAATTCACTTTATTCATATGTAAAGATAATTTCATTATTTTTTCCAAGTAAACAAGTTGGAATTTTAAGATCAAGACATAACGAAAACTAAGAGATAATCACTGGACAAAATTAAATTGAAACGAACATGGTGGACTCTATTGTTAACTACAAATCAATATTAAGCCAAATAGTTGTTATATTTATATAAGTTATGTCAAAGCATCAGCTTACGATTCACATAGATTTTGTTTTAGTAATATTGTATTCCATGAGCTAGATGATTTAACTAATAACCATTTAGTGTCATTCTGGATAACGTCATCAGCGCTAATAACAGACTAGACAAACTGACTTGATTGTCAAAAGAAGAATATTCTTTTTGATGAATTCTTATCAGATTCTATAGTTATAAATCAACAGGGGGATGTTCAAGTGTTAGGTAAATATTTTAAAAAATATTATATGACTGTACAGCTGTTGGTAAAATGTGTTAACCGGAGTTGGTAAGTGTGGAACTAGCAAGTGTATAGTGAATATCTGTTTCAGGTTGTAGAGCAACTGAAATTAATCGGAGCAACACAAGGATAACATGCTGTTAGACAAACAGTAATGCAATTAACAACTACATTGATAATTGTAATTGAGTAGAACTGACATAAGTTATGTATATTGGTCAAATTGGGCCCTTCGAGATGGTTATTTGCTTATTAGGCTTAAGATTAACTAAGTGGTAGTCTGCGAGAGTGAAGGTCCTAGGTTTGGTTCCCAGTGGGGTAGTGGATTCCCAATGCTGAACAGTCCCATATTAGCAAGAGATACTCGTCCAGTGTTTTCAATAATGGTATGGCTTAGGTCATTTTATTACTTCAACTATAAAAAATCGTAATTCAACAGCTAATTATGCTTCGACTTATTAGAGAAATTTCAGTGGAAACAGATAAACTTGAGAGATTGAGCAACACAGTTTTTGTTACAATTGGCCGAGATTAGTATTATTGTGACCTTTGCATACACCTATTCCTTTGTGGTCTTTGTAATGTGGCAGTGCGACCTAATTCACATCTCTTATTGTGTGCCTTATTTTTTACAATTCTAAATATATTATGATGTTTACCGATATAATTTTCTTGCATGTGGCATAAAAATTTACCTAGAGTCCCATCTCCCTTCTCACTCGCTTGCGGTTGTCATCATGGATGCCCTATTGTACATGAGTCGTTATTCTAGCTAGCAACATAAATTGGTTTTGAAATCAGAGGAAACTGCAGTCATCTTTACTTTGGATTCAAACAATGTAAATCCGCAGTAATGGAGACAAGTGATGATTATGCATATAAATGCAGAAAAGCTTGAACGTCTACTTAAATAATAGCTCATATCGATACAGATGTTTTTAATGCTTTCCTTGAAACAAATCATATCAGTCTACTTGATATTGTAAAACTATTGCATTTTTAAGTCTAGGATTTCCACAAATTGTCACAATTATTTAAGGTTACGATCAAGGAAAATTACAAATATCTAAGAAAGGATATTTAGTAAAATAAGGAAATAACCAATGGTATTTGTGGGACAAAATGGATTGGTTTATGTTCGGCAATTTTCACACTGCTTACATGAATTCCATCAGGTTTAAGCATTCTTTTCAAGATTACTAGAAATGAAACGGAGAGAGCGTTGTTTACTCAAACTGAACTTGGAAACATAATAGCTGTTAAAAAGTTATTTGCTACAGGTGCAGAGTTATACAACACATTTGCATCAATAATAGAACCTTTCAAATTGAAGTATAAATTACAATGACACCACAAGTGACCTTACTCTCACCCTTGTTTGAGAGTGTCCTCAGTCATGTTGTATATTATGAAAAGCGTACTATTTGTCATAAAGTTAAATGTTTTGTACTTCCATCAAATTTAGTGTGAATTCCGTTTATTATCGATGTTATTAAAGCTAGTCAAGTAAATAGTGTGAAACATACATCGAACTCATTGAAGTTTAGTAACTACGTTGTAAATTATCGGCGCCTTTTCTTATACCTAGATTCTGCCACCTCAAAAAAGACAATCTCAAAGGCTTTAAAGTCATCAATGATTATTTTGTTCCACTTGTGATCTGAGATAGCCTTGCCCAACTTTAATAATTTATCTGATTTATCTTTTTATAAGGATTTAAGATTTAAAATGTAATTCATGAAATACTGTTTATTCCGAAGAATAAATGTGTATTGAGGTAATCAAACTAACCTCACATCTTGAATAAATGAAGGCTACCATGAATTTGTAGGTTGATAGATAACGTCCTAATATTTAAAGCGATAGTGACTGTATTCGGGTCTCTATGCATCCAGGTGAAGAGTCCCGAAAAAGACGAAACTTGCATCTGGGATTTCGTTTCTAGTTATCACTTCAAGTTTAATCATATTTACCGTATAGTGCTTGAAATCGAAAGGGATTATCTTATGTTACTTTACTAGGTGTCTAAATTATATTCGATAATTAGTAGACTTTGATCAGTAATTAGAGTTTGAGCATAACTGGTTTCCTATCAACAAAACAGTCTGGTTATATTAGGAGTGATTGTTGGTGTAATAGAAGTAGGTATAACTTTGTAATGGTAGATGGATGAGACATTGATAAGTGAATTACCAAGCTTAAAATACAAAAAATAAATAAGTTTATATCAGTCTTCATTTAGACTCCAAACTTGTAAAATGTGCAAGTATTTTAATTAGTATTCCTAATAAATATTGCAATTTTACGTAGTAGGCAATATCTCAGAAACTTTATAATATTTTTCATCATGGACTAACATCAGCTTTAGAATAATCGAGAATCAAATGGGGACCTTGACAGTTGTTTTATCGTTGTTTGAAACTGCTTAGTGCTACTGAACTTAATTTTCGATTGTTACCCAATAAACATCCAAAATATTCGCTTCAGACTTATCTAAAATATATTCACTTTCTTTGGATAGAGGATTTTGTTTGAGAGAATATCAGTTTACAAGTTTTTTTTAAAGTGATGTATGAATCAGGCTGAGTATAAGAATAAATATGTCTTTAAAGCAGTATTTCCTATTCTAAAGTGAAGTACACTATTTATTCAATGATGTGAACTAATAACGCTGAAAAATCACTGTTTTCATCCTTCCCAATTCTTATAAGAAAACACTGTAATGCATACAAACCAGTAAAAATTAGTTCTTTTAGCGTATCACATATCCATTAGAAAAATCGAGATCAAGTGAAAACCCTAACAAGCATGGGATATCAGACAGAAACCAACCTCAATTTATGGTTTCTAGTATTCATCAAAGTCTATTAACTAAATTATGTATTATGGTGAAGCTAGATAAATCTCATTCAATGTTAAATATCGGGATTTAATAGATGGAAAGCCTTTGATCTAAGTTTAGATCTTGTAGACGAAATGTTACCATAACTTCCGGAAATAAACTTTCAGAATCATAACGCAAGATCTGGACATTGAATAAAGATTGTGCAAATTAATTTAATCGAAACTGACAGTTAGAAAACAGAAAAAATACAAAAAGCTTTGGTATTCCAATACACAATTTCCTTTAATGAAAACCAATCACAGTTACTTTACTAGCACTTAAACAAAGTCAGTTCCTTCTAAAGAATAGATGAATTGTTGTTCGTAGTAGAATCCAGGATGTACGACTCGTCAGCTGAGTATATCTGTATCCCATTGTTGACGTCCATACAGGGAATCGAACCCTGTACCTTTTACTAGTGAATCCAGATAACTACTAACTTATTCAACGAGTATACTGTTTAAATCATTATTCGTAAGAGTTATCAACAATAGAATAATTCGAATCCACACCAGTCGGTCCTTCTGTTAAATTTAAGTAATATGAAGAGAAAGTAATGTTTACTTAAACATATGAAATGTGTAAAGAATTTTAAATCTATTTACCTAATCTTTCCACTTTAATCTAACCTGAAAAGATTAAAAACCAAGCAGATTCTTTGTTGTTTTTTTCAAAAAAAACAAGAGTTTTTATATAGAATGAGTATCAATGTTTCAAAAAAACAAACACTATGTTACATACTGTACCGTTTAAACTCATAGGAATTAATTAACTTAACTATGTTTAAATAAAGAAATAATAATTCTCTGATTAAACATCTTTTCTTTTAGTGTAAATAATAAAAGAACAAAACAATCTAGTACAACGTTCATTTGTGAACTAGGTATCTATTAGTAGTCTATCTATGCATAATTTCTAAACATATGTCAATGAATTGTGACCTCTGCTATTTAACGTTGCAAAATTTAAAAGAAACACCATATCGTTGACATTGTTGGAGTTATTATCAGTTTTAATTATAATGTAAATGAGGTTGTTTTTTTTTGCTGTTTATAATTAGCTTC